AGTGAAAATAAATAACTGATGTGTTGTGGAATAACCACTACCATAGAAGCCAATTCACCGCTATTGGTGCAGGCTCACAACAGCGGCATCACCCCTGAAGGTTAACACAGCAATCCCAGTCTCCATACACCCGGAGTTGGGATTGGAACTTACACATCATACTCATAGTGATAATGGGACAAGAAAGAAATAGACAATCTATGTCTAATTTCTGAACAAATAATTATGCTGTCCCTTAAATAGTATAGGCAAGTGAATATGGAACCACATGCTATAACGTAACTATTGTATTTCGAAGGTTCAATGTCGACAGAAGTGAAGAGGACAAGAGATTTAAGGATGGAGTGTGAAATGGTAGAAGCATTGTGTCGCGTTCGAAGAACACTCCCTTAAAAGCAATTTCCGGCAACTCGCCTCTTGCTTCCGACCGATAACACAGTTACATAATATGGCTCAGACGAATTGAGGATTAGTGAGGTTCTCTGCGTGTGTTTCCAGCGTACAGCCCCATTGCTTATATACTGCAGGAACACAACCAACTTCCTATGCAAAGCCACGTTAATAATTCCTGTCAGTTCTAATAATGAACTGATTTGTATGACAGCTCTTTGAATATGATGGCTTTCGTGAAGATCCTTAAGAAATTTGATAAGGTAATGTTGTTGTAATACAATGCACGAAGTGATTATGGCCCTGTTTGGTGAATAGTTGTTACCTGAGAGCCCGTTTGTTGATTGGGTTAATTAGATGGTGTAAGTGTACACATTTAGTACATATTAAACCTTTGTTGGATAATTTATTTATTTTATTTTAATTAGATTTAAGCTAGACAAAAATTCTTTTTGGACCACTTCCTATCAACTAATATTAATTTGAATGGCTACAATTTATTAGTTGATTGAGAATGGGAAGTCAGCAATGCAGTGCGTATAATGTGAGGCTTTCAAATCAAATGTGTGACTTTGGTTCATTGAAGATTATGGAATGCTAATTATGTGGATCAAGCTAAGTGATGGATAATCTTTGCTATAAAAGGAAGTCATTCCTTTTTGGAAAGTTACTGATTTTTGTGAACTACTGTATTGAGAGAAAGGAAATTACTTTACAAAGCTGTCTCAGTAAATCTATTTTATTATAATAATTCTTGTGGGATTAAATCTGAGCTACACAGTCAGTACCTGGAACAGCGAAAGCTTCGCTTGAAGATTGTTATGGCATGCACGGTTCTGTCTTGAGTAGGTGTTAGGAAGGGTTGGGGTAGTAAGGGCTGATAGCCTTTTTGTACTTACCTTTGTATAACTCCTTGGTGAACATCTATAGTGGATTGAGCAGACGTGGGTTGCCCGGCAGACGTAGGAGAAGCGCTCCGAACTGCGTACCAATTCCCTTGTGTTCTTATTTTATTTTATGCTTTCAATTTCTGTTATTTACATTTGATTAAATAATCTAATTAATGAACGGGATTGTCGCATAACATAAAATCAAATAGAAATCTAAGGGTCATCTTGTATTCAAGATTTACCGTGCAATTTCAGATGGTATAATTTCTTGATAACATTAACTGATTGTAGAAAAGTGTACATTTGGTAAATTAGTTGTTAGTTGATAGCTGTTTGGTATAAGCATGCAACTGTAAAGATATATTGTTTTCCTTTTCCAATTAAACATGCAGGTATCAAAACAGCAAAAATCTGCAACTTATTTGAGCCAAGTAAAAGATCACACTTCATTAGCTCTGATAAGGTGGTTGGGTTAATGGACGAAGTGGAGTCCATATTCACACAACACTACGCCGAAAATGACAGAAAAAAAAGGCAATGAAGTTTCTAATACCTCAACACCACGACAAGGATTCTCACATGGTCCCCTTTTTGGCTGGTAAAATATAATTACATTTTACTATTAAATTTATACCTATTTTAATTTCTAGTCATTCAGATGATCGGATAATTAAAATATGTACGAAGTTGATACTCAAAAAACATTATTGGACAAAATTAGAAGTGATCGAAGAACCAATTAAAGTAGTGAAATCACTGTAATGGATAGATTATTTCAATTCGATAAGTGACTGTAATCACAAATGCTATCTTTTACTATATATATAGAATAATGTCATTAAAAAAAATACTATATAGAATAATAGGCATAAACTAATGTTATTTATTTATTTTTGCGATTGTGCAGGACCAGGTTGTTTCATGACACTGTTTAGTGTGTGTGGAATATTGGCACATTTAAGTGGCATGTTCTCCCCAGGAACAGAAGCCAGTTACTTGTGCTTTAATTTTACTTAATTAATTGTTTGTGCTTTAAAAGATATACAGAGTATCTGATCGAAATGTTACAATACCACGTTAGTCAATCACTAAAATTGAAATTTTTTATTTTAAAAAATAATTTTAATAAAATGCTACCCAAATAACGAATTGTATTTAAATGTTTCTGCTTATGATTAATGAATTAACCTTTTATTTTGAAAAAAAAAAAAAAAGGCTACCCAAATAACGGTTTGTATTTTCTACAAAAATTTTAATTCTTAAAATGATAATTACAATTCAACTTTGCAAGCATGAATACTGTCATCGTTCATAAATTCATCCAGTTATTTGATTAAACTATCAAATTATGAGTTTTATTAATTACAATAAATAAATAATTAAATACCAAATCAAAATGATACTAAAACTTACATCTAATAATATTAATAAAGGATTGTCATCACAGAATTAAATTGAAGTAAAATTACACTCTTGATCCTAAATTTACTGCATGATATTACATTATTCAAATATTAATTATATTCCTTTACACTATTTTAATATTAAGTATATTCGTTTTGTTAACATGTAATGAGGTCGGTTAAATCATAAATAACAAATGAAAAGGAATCAATCTGAATAAATTTAAATTCAAAACCTCAAATACTGCACATACTATGAATGGTGTTAAAAAATTAAAAGCTCCAAATCATCAAAAAAGTAAATGATTATTTTATTAATTAATTAATTTGATACTCAATTGTGTTGAATATCATCAATTCTTACATTGACAGATGCATACTCCTTGGATACATATAACCCGTCAAGCAAGTCAACGCAAATTTATGCTTTAGTCTAAACATGTACAAATTCCCTTGTCACATATTGCTGAGCTACCAAAGCAAATTACTTTTGAACAATCTTTCTTTGTTGTGCACTTTGTCTCTTCTAAATTGTTTGCACTTATGTCTCCTACACATTTGCAAATTCCCTTATCACATGTTACTGAGCCAGGACATATTAGTTTTGAACAATCTTTCTTTGTTGTGCACTTTGTCTCTTCTAAATTGTTTGCACTTATGTCTCCTACACATTTGCAAATTCCCTTATCACATGTTACTGAGCCAGGACATATTAGTTTTGAACAATCTTTCTTTGTTGTGCACTTTGTCTCTTCTAAATCATTTGTGTGTGCAACAACGTTTGAAAATTTTGAACCTACAAGAAAAATGTGTTAAACATACATTTTGATAATCAATAAAATTAATAGATCAGTTTTATAATGTCGATAAGTCGTTGTATCTACTGTAACAGATTATAAAAAAATTTCATTTCCATATGAAATTAAAGTTCATAGGTAAATAACTAAACATGGTTGATGTGACAAAATAAAAATAAAAACTAAGTGTTGTGTGCATATAAAGATGGATGGGGTAGAGAAGGAAGAGAGTCAAACCTAATATGAAAATGTAAAAAATTACTAAAAGAACTAAGCGAGATGGTGTCTTCTCCATATTGTATACGTTTAACTTACAAGTCAATATACTTTCATTTAGAGCTCAACGGACCATATATATATATATATATATATATATATATATATATATATATATATATATATATAGTAAAGAAGATATTTATGATTGGAACGATATAAAACGTATAAAATCATAATAAAAATATGAAAATATAACTGAAACGTTATAAAAGATATATAATCATAATCTAAAATGATATTTACGATTTCAACAATATAAAAGGTATATTTAATAGTTTTTTCTATATAAGGATTATTTCTTACCAATTTAGCAATACTAATCATGACACCTAAAATTATTGTTACCAACTTATATATGATTTGAACGTATAAAATGTATATTTAATAGTTTTTTTTCTATATAAGCATAATTGCGTACCAATTAAGCAATACTAATCATGACACCTAATTATTGTTACCAACCAGTCCCTTTGGGTTCGATAAAATTGGAACGAAACAGAGAAAATTAGCATGGCCCCTGCGCAATAATGATACGCACAAAAAAAAAAAAAAGGCTATTCAGTAATCACATATATAAATAATTTTTATCCTCAAATTGCGAAGAAAGCCACATTAAATAAATACAAAAAATAAACAAATAAAAAAATAAAAAGCTCTAAGCCTAAGAAATGCTTACGTACCCGTAAACACAATAACATGATATGTTTATAATCAAGATTAATCATATCTCAAGTGTTGCATCTTATACAAGTTGATAATCCATTATTCAACCAGCCAGCCAAGACTTCAACCTGTTGGAGAAACACACAAATTCTTTCTACCAACCCTCAACTCTGAAGAAGACGTTGATAGAGGCGGAGTAAACTCTAGGAGTTGAAAACCCAAGTAACTGTCCGGCTTAGTGTTCAAGGAAGCTAGCTTGACTTAAGTTGTACTAGGAGTGATAGTGCAAACATTTCACAAGTTGTGGAAGAAGAGTGGAGTAGGCACAGTTGACCGAACCACTATAAAAATCTCTCTCTCTCTCTTTTTACTTTATTACTGCATTACTTTCGTGCATTGCATATCATAGCCTCTCATACCGAAAGTTTCATAAGCAACAAATAGTGCAAAGCAAACTTAAAACTCGTTTAACTAATCTGCTGCGTAATAACCTCGAAAGGAGTTATTTCTGTTAAAAATCGAATTGAGTTTATTCACCCCCCTCTAGACTCTCCTTTCGACCCTATCGGGACCAACAGTATTTCTAATTCTCATTATGTTTATTTTATAGTTCCCATGCATGTTTTTAATATTTGCAACTCTTCCGTTTTTCTTAATTGTCTATTTAAACAGACTTTTGTATTGAGAAGTTCAAGTTTGAATATTATTTAAAGTCTTTGAGTTTGAGTTATATTGTTTGTGTTTTTCTTGTTCCCCTTGTCCTGCATCATTTCCGACCACCTGAAAGTGATCTTAAATCAAGTTTAAAGTAAAAAATGGTCGGAAACAGTAACAAGGATTTTTTCGGATACCAAAATGGTCGAAACAAAGCTTTCGACTTGATTTAAGATCACTTTCAGGTGGTCGCAAATTTCATAATTTCCAGTAGTGTATAAATGTGACAATACCACATTAGTCAATCACTAAAATTGAAATGTTTTATTTTAAAAAAACAATTTTAATAAAATGCTACCCAAATAACGATTTGTATTTAAACGTTTCTGCTTATGATTAATGAATTAGCCTTTTATTTTGAAAAAAAAAAAAGGCTACCCAAATAACGGTTTGTATTTTCTAAAAAAAAATTAATTCTTAAAATAGTAATTAAAATTCAACTTTGCAAGCATGAATACTGTCATCGTTCATAAATTCATCCAGTTATTTGATTAAACTATCAAATTATGAGTTTTATTAATTACAATAAATAAATAATTAAATACCGAATCAAAATGATACTAAAACTTACATCTAATAATATTGAAATTGCCTCGTGATACTTGAAACATAAAATCAATGTGTTTTTTACTCGTTAATTAAGTTATGCACCAGTTTCGTTAATTAATTAGACTCGTTTAAGCAAGTGTAAATAATAACAGCAGAAAGCATAAAGTAAATTAAAAACACAAAGAAATTGTTACACAGTTCGGAGCTCCTTCTCCTACGTCTGCGGGGCAACCCACGTCTGCCCAATCCACTATAGATGTTCACCAAAAGGAGTATTACAAGAGGTAAATGAAGACGGCCTCCAGCCTTTACCACTACCACTCTTTCTAACACCTATCAAGGACTGACACACGAAAACCCAAACAATCTTCACAGGAAGCTTCAGCAGTACCACGTACTGATCATGTAGTACAGATTAAAAACTCTTAAGAATTAAATAATAAATCTCATTAAACTGAATAGCTTAGTGCTTAGTAAATCAGGATAGCTCTCGCAATTTATAATAATCAAGTTGGCAATGTCTTCATTCGAGCAGTACCCTTTTATAGTACTTCATGAGCCTCTTTATTTGATCCTCAATTGTAGCCCCTTTCCTTGCTTTCCACTGTTCGAATAAGCCATAGCCACACACCTATTTCTTTGAAAGCTTCATCGTAGACTTTATTCACCAATGCATGCTATCCACTTATTTTTGTAATCACATGGTCCATAAAAGGAATAAATCTAACAACACTAATTTAATTTAAAGCTAATGAGACTAAAAAATAAAATAGCCAATATTGTGTAAATTATTTTACACTTACAATCTCCCCCTTTGGCTTTTTATTTGGGAAAACTTGAGTATCAAATACTTTGGGCAAGAATCAATTTTATTTATGGCCCTTAGTATAGCTACTTAACAAGGCACAAAAGTATAAAGCCAAAACATAACCACTTAAGTTCTTTTTGGACCATTTGTGAATAAAGTACCTAATTAGAAATCTTCAATTCTTGGATCACACATAGAGGCATTGAATTCATAGCATACCACATCATAAATAATCTTGAGAAGCATAACCCGAAACATCCATTCAACTAGTTAGGAGCACTAAACACTACTACTCCCCCTAACTAATATAATTCTATTATTTCCATAAGGGAAAATGACACTTTGTCCCCCTGAGTTATATACTTATAGCATTTTTTCCCCCTAAGTTATTGAAGTGGCTGTTTTTTCCCCTGAAATGTTAAATGGACATATTTACCCTTAAACTAAATATTTAATTTATTTTTTTCTCCAACAAATTATGACCATAATTTGGTTCAAACTAAACAAACACTATAGCAACCAAACCGAAATATTCCAATTACAATTTAGAATCGAAATTCGATATTTAGAGTTTATTAAAATCGTGAACCGGAACGGACGGTTCATGTTCCGAAAAAAAAAAAATAAAATGCATTTATTGTTGAATTTAGACTATTTTAAAATAAAAAATAAAATTTTAAAATAAAGACGGTTCAAAACCACGAATCAAATCCGGAACCGCCGGTTCACGGTTCAAGATTCAATTTTTTGATACATAATTTTAATAAATTGACATTTAAATATTGGGTTCTAGATCTGAATTATAACCGTAAACTATTAATTCGATTGCTTTAGTATCCGGTTCAATTCAAATCGAACCGTGGTCATCCCTACGTATACGCAATAATTTGTTGGAGTAGTAAAATAAATAAAATGTTTACTTTAAGGGTATAAATGTCAATTTAATATATCAGGGGGAAAAAGCACCACTTTTAGAATAATTGAGGGGGCTAATGTGCTTACCTAAATAATTGAGGGGGAAAAAGTGCTATAAGTATATAACTCAGGGGTAAAAAGTGCCATTTTCCCTTTCCATAATGACTCATCATAAAAACTACCAACCAAAAATAAAATCACTGTCAAAAATCACTGCCAAATAATTCCATACGCATCCAATACTTCAAAAGAAATCCAAAAGTTTCCAAAATACTCCAAAGTTACCATAATACTCCCCCTTTCAAACATACTCCAAAAACTCTCCATTTTGCCAAATAAATGACAAAGGATGGTGAACATCATAATAGTGGATTAGATTTACCGTGCAGACGGGGTACCCGAGTCGGAACCATCATCTTGATCTTTAGAGTTTGAACCAGAGGAAGCACCACCAGTATCGGCCAGGATTTGAGCATGAATGGCCTCCATACGAGCAACTTCTTAGAGTTGGGCATCACGCAAATTTGCAAGTCTAGAAATGGTGGCCTGTTGAGAATCAACAGATTGTTGAAATTGAGCAATCGAGGCCTCAAGAGTGACAATAATTTGTCGACGATCAACCAATGTTTGAGGCTCTTTGGGAATTGGCCTGGAAGCAGGACGAGAGCCAGACGCTGTGTCAGCAGAGGAAACTGGAGCAGAAACCAGTGGAGGCGGCGGTGGAACAGTAGGAACGGAACTGAGCGATGCTCGATCATCAAAGTGTCCTCTTTGCGTGAGCCGGTCATCATACTAATATACATTATCATGAGCAGTAATAACCTCCTCTTTGTACGACCGAAACCCATGCCCTTGAAGCACCCCATAGGTTAAACTCGGATAAGGTAGATGGATTTTAGCTTCTTTTTTCTGCAAAAAAGACATCAAATGAGAGAATATAACCTCCCCAAGGTTGAACGGGAGACGATTTCTGATTTTGTAGAGTAGGCCAGCGAGCTGTTCCGAGACATTGTGACGACGTACTGCCGGGATCCAGTTGGCCGAGGCAAGCCGAAGAAGTACGGAGTAGACTGTAGTAAGCTTTAAGCTGGAAAGTCCGTCAGTTGGCCAAGAGATATCTTTGTTGTGTGTCAGCGCGAAAGCCAAGAGATGAGGATGCGGATCAGGAACAGCCGGGTGATTCGGAGTACCGAAGTAGGCATTGATATCCATAGGCCCGAAGGGATACCATGTGCCTCGAATAAACACTTGATGAAACCAGGCAGAACCTTCAGTGAATGTGTCCAAGGTCAAATTGGTGTAGAACTCGGCTGTCAACCATGCGGAGTAGGGACCAACATGTCGTAGAGAAGCAAGCAAATTTTGATCACGCAACAGTGGGATAATGTTGCACTTGGCAGCCAACTCCTCTTCATTAATTGACTTCTCAAGGATGAAGTCTCGACTAACATGGACCTCCCAATCAGCTTGTAAGTCAGGGGATAGAAGTCGTGGTTTGTAAGGTTTACGGGACCCCATTGATTTCGAACCAGATGGGACCGGCACAGTTGGAGATTCTGCAAGAGTCCGGGACCGAGTAACTCTGGGCGGAAGTGTGGAACTCCTCTGTTGATGTTTACAGTCAGATTGAGTTTCTACATCTTCCAAATGTGACAACCGTCGCTTTTCCGCAGTACCTGAAACAGATAGTTTCTCTTTTCCCTTTCGGGAAGGTTTAGCCAGAGGTACAGATATGATAGGAACCGAATCTTGGGTAGATGAGACTGGAATAGGCACAAGCTTAGACTGACTTTTAGAAAAAGATATAGAAATGGGAATTGAAAAAGCAGAACACGACATGGTTGGAACCGATACATGTTGGGCTACATTGCGAATGGCAAAAGTAGAGGGCAAGGAATTCACCAAGTCAGATAAAGCTACTAAATTATCAGTTCCACTAGGTAAATTGTGAGTCAAAGGATCATAAGGGTCACCAGGTAAAGGCAAATTTTGAACATCAAAATTATCATGAGATACTGGTGACACGAATTGATCAGGCAAAGAGACATCAAAATCAATTTTTCTAGATGAAGATTTACAAGGCACAGATTCTAAATAAGATGAGGAAGCAGGGAGTACCACTGGATGAGGAGAGACGAGAGACACTGGTTCTGAGACAGTGGCTGTCACAGGAGGAATAGTCCAAGGTGCAGCGGAGATATGGCGAGCCAGAGCAAGCATTTGTCTCTGTTCTTTGTCTGTGAGCCCTTCAAGTAGAAAAACATCCGATTTGATTGTGGCAAGAACCCTATCAGTAACTTCAGGAGATAAAGGTGACTCGGCATCTATGATTTTGCGAAACAGAATAGCTCTTTCAGATCGAGATACGTAGGTGAGGAAGGGATTTTCCATGTGTGTAGCTTGTAGAGGGCAACAATGGTGGAAGGAGAAGAGTTGAAAAGGATGTGGTGATCTCGGGTAGGGAAGATAAAGAATAAATGGGTGATGTGATTTGTAGCTTGAAAAGGCGTGTGGGATATGATGGCTAGGATAGATAGATGGTAATATTCATAGGTTTGTAGTGGAGTGTAAATAGGAGAAGATGGTGGTGTTTGACTAGAATTAGTCTTCTAGATGCAAGTATGAGACATCCGAAATAGATAGAAAAAAACAAAACACGTTAGAATTACTCATATAGGCAATTAAGTCCGAAAATTGGTCCCAAAAAAATAATTACGTATCACTTTGTCCCTGAAAAAAAACGT